TCCAGGAAGTACAGAGAACCCCAAACAAGAGGAATCCAAAGAGGACCACACCAAGACACATCATAGTTAAAATGCCAAGGGCAAAAGACAAAGAGAGAATATTAAAAGCAGCAAGAGAAAAACAGTTGCCTACAAAGGAGTACCCAAACAACTGTCAGCTGATTTCTCAACAGAAACTATGCAGGCCAGAAGGGAGTGGCAAGAAGTATTCAAAGTGATGAATAGCAAGAACCTACAAACAAGATTACTCTACCCAGCAAAGCTATCATTTAGAACTGAAGGTCAGATAAAGAGCTTCACAGATAAGAAAAAGCTAAAGGAATTCATCACCACTAAATCAGTATTATATGAAAAACTGAAGGGTATTCTTTAAGAAGGGGAAGAAGAAAAAGGTAAAGACAAAAACTATGAACAACAAAGTGACAACAAATACAATCTATCAACAAGTGAATCTAAAAATCAAGTCAATAAAAAAGTCTGATGAACAGAATAAACTAATGAATAGAATAGAATCAGGGGTATAGAAAAGGAGTGGACTGACAATCCTCAGGGGGAAAGGTGTGGGGTGTGGGAAGAGACTGGACAAAAATCGTACACCTATGGATGAGGACAGTGGGGGAGAAGGGTAAGGGCAGAGGGTGGGGTGGGAACCAGGTGGAGGGGAGCTATGGGGGGGCAAAAAGAGGAACAACTGTAATAATCTGAATAATAAAGATTAGGGAAAAAATCACAGCAAAAACTTACTCTTAAGCTCAGGTTTTTATAAGGCCATGAAAAGAAAGAGGCATAACTTCTATTTCTTTTGATACACTGATTTTCATAGATGCAGACAGTCCCTGATCGAGCCCAGCCTGCTCCCTTTAAGGGGAGCTTTCACGTTGCTAGGGAAATTCATGAGATGAAATGAAGGAGCCATGAGTGGCGTAGCATCAGAACCAGTGTGACTGGCTCTGGGACAGTCATTGCAGCTAAAACTTCGGATCCCATGACATTAGTGGTGCTATTGACAAGGCCCAGTTTCTAAACTCCTCTGGAAAAGGAGGATGGGAGGAATGTCTGCCTCCTGATTAGCTCAGTCATCAGCAGTCGAGGCAGGTAGGCCAGGTAACCACACAATTGCTGAGTTGGTGACTGAGGCTTCCATGAAAGCAAATGAGGAAACAGCCAAGAAGGACCATTTTGGCGCAGGTGCTGGGAAGCAGCACATGAATGAAAACAACTGAAGGAGAGCAGAACGAGATGCATGTGCTAGAAGACAAACTGGCATGTGTCTGCCATCTAGTGCTAATTGTGAGAGGATGACAAAGGAACCCCTGTGGGTGGGCACAGAGGATGTGCAAAAAGGCGCCAAGGGTAGAAGAGAGAAACACACAAGACGTGAGAAGGACACTAAGCACAGGGAGAGAGGAGCAGAACATGACACACACATGTGCGCACATGCACACACACACACACACACACACACACACAGGGATGAAAGGAAAATGTTCTAAGAAGTTAAGTTTAATGACAAGGATGGCACAGAGCACCCAGGGGCAGGAGGTCACTGGAGGCAGTGGTGCAGTCTTTAAGAGGCGAGCATAGGGGGGCTTATTGACAGAAGTCATAAACAGCTAAAACATTAAAGGAATTCACTGCTGCGGAGCTCACAAAGGAAGATGAGGCAGATGCCCGAAGCAGACATACACTTCCCAGAGGAGAGGGATGAAATGCCGCAGGAAATCAGAAGCGTGCCCAAACAGGTGATCAGAAAATCTGAACCTCTACAGACTGCCCAGGCTGGGCCCCATGGAGAGAAGTGGGGAAATTAGCATGCAGCAGACAGAAGCTGAGCCCTGCTGCAGGAAGGCCTGGCCGACTGGAGCATGACAGGCGCACAGCGATGTCGGGCATGAAATCCCTATCTGGTTTAGGCGAGAGGCTCTGCTATCCCTATAGCAGCAGGTGTTTGGAGGTCAGGGCAGATTCCATGTCACTGTCGCACAGCTGCCGATCACCTGGCCACTTAGACATGTTCAGGTAACTTGTCCACCTTTTTCCAGAACAGCCCTGCCCCATCTCCACTGAATGCTCTTTAACTCACAGGAGCCTCCACGCTGCACATTCCCCACCATTCCCGGCTGGGGCCCTGCCTCTCTGGATAGGACGCACCTGCAGAAACAGTCTTACCCGGGAGACGATTCCCCCACATTTCCTTTTCTGTCATCGCACAGACAAGCTGACCTTTCCATGGGAGAAACCACGACCATCCATGCTTCTGAAATCTGCACAGTCTTCAGACTGGCAGACATTGGGTGTCTACATGGGCACGGGCTCTGGCTCTGACAAAACGGAGGCTACTGATGTCGGCTGGCACACAGAAGTGACACACTGAGGAACTCTGCATCCCCTCGACACTGCCCTCCACTATGACACGGGAGCCCTGACCCCATGGGGCATGATGGCATGGCTCTCACCCTCAGCATTCTGGTCCTGATTCTGCCCCAGCCCCCTTTCCTGGCTGTTGTCTGCCAGGAGTCCTGCCAACCAGCCCGAGTCATCCCTTCTCTTCATCAACCCCTGCCCCTCACGCCTCTTTGCCAGCCTGACTCACACACATTCCTGCTGTGCTAAGACAGGTGACTGTTTCTTCCATATGTTGTCCCAGAACCCAGTTATATGTTGCCAATAACACTCCTCGTTGAGAGTTTGCTATGTGCTTGATGCCCAGTGAAATTCAACATTTGTGTGCCTCATTCACTCTGAGAATGACACACATTATGGATCTTGCCTGTGGTCTGGTCACCATTTATTTAATGGTTTAAGATGTTTCCCCGTTGGCAACACTACACTGAAGCTCTTTTCTTGATCAATAACTGACTCACTAAGGCAGCTGAGTGAGTTGCTCATGGTCAAATGTGACCGATCACAGTGTCCTCCCAGCCGACCCATTCACTCCAGCTGGTCCAGGGAGAGATGGTGTGCTCCAGCTTTAGAGCTGTGTGACGAAGGGATTCTTCATCTGGTCGCTAAGGTGAGGGGTTGGGACCCTCTCAGACTCTCTCCAGTGCTTCTCAGCCCTCTTCCACTGAAGAATTCCTTTTGTTGTAATACATAATCGCAGAACCTCAATATTTCATTTTAGCTAACAAATTTAAGTGGTAAGAAAAATTGGGATTTATTCACAAAACTCAAAAAATATGAGAATCATGGATGTATTAAAATGTAGCCTTAAATTGACTTTCATTATGTGATCCAAAAAGTGTTTTTATGACCTGATGCTTAGAATTCTTTATTTCATGGTTTAAAAATTATCCATTCACTTACTTTTATAATTTTCAAGTTTGTTTTGAAATAAAGAGATAAAAGGTGTTTAAGGGCCAGAACTATTTACAAGTTCTCTGCAAGAAACATATTGTGGGTGTGTATCGTTTTTATTCTAAATAAATAAAAAGGCAAAATGAATATAAATCTGCACAATATTTTCACTTTTAAAAATGCTTTTGTGAACAAGAAGCACCTGGATGTGCTCTGGAGAACCTGATTCGACAAACACAATGTTCGATCTTGCTAGCCCTGCTGTCTGGAACCCTCTGCTCAAAAGGCAGGAAAGCTTTCTCCAGCCTCTCTCTTGACCCGTCACAGGGAGTGCCTCTCTTGGCACGGGGACTCTAGGCTAGATGCTCACCAGTGCCAGTGCCCCTGGGGAAGGATGGCAGTGGTTGTGGGCAGGCTGGGGAGGGACAAGGGCCACCAGGGGTCAGGGAACTCTTCTTGGGAAGGCAGAAGGGGCGGAGACGAGCCTGAGTGTGAGCTGAGGCTCCAAGGCCCAGGTGGGAGTTTCCCTGCTCATGGGGCTTCCCTTATAAAATAATCCAAAGGTAAAACTGCTAAGGATTTCAAGACGGTACTAGAGAGCACACCACCTCAAGCACAGGCCCCTTCTGGGGGGGAGGGACGGGGGGCCCATGCAGGTGCCTTGGTTGCCTGCTTAGGGGGCTGGTCCTGTGCAGATCTGAGAAATACCATGTTAAGGTGAAATTGCAGAACTGTTATTATCTTTGTGCCTTTCCTTTACCTCTGAAGTTTCAACCTCACTGCTCCTCATAAATCTGTCTTTAACCCGAGGTCCTTCAGAGGTCTACACTAAACACACTCCTGTGCAAAAGCAAGTGGGGGATGGGCAGACTCAGTCCATCTGCCACACACCAACCCTCACCCCTGGTGTTTTTGCAACATCTACCTGAAGAACAGAAAAGGCCAGCAATTGACTATTTATTATTTTAAACTTAGAATGGAAGCAGAACATGACACTCACCGACACCGTGAGTGAACCCTGAGGTTGCTGTGCTCCCGTTTCCGAGTCATTTCCATTCCAGACAAAACAGCACGGTGGTGCCAGAGGCCCAGGCACCTCACCTGACTGCTGCCCTGACCACAGGTACCAAAATGGGGGAAGAACCCGCCCACGCTTTCTTCATTAAATCCAAAGGTGAAGGACCATCTATTGTACAAACAGCATGGCCATTGGAATGAGCACCTGTCCCCAGAGCCAGGCCCGGGCCCTGGAGGAGCAGGCCCGGAAGGCGGCTCGGCCATAAACATGGCTGTGCAGCCGGCACAGGACCCAGCAGGCAGACAGGAACCCAGCGACCACACCACTGCTGCCCCGTGGGGCTGGGGTCCTTCACCACCACGCTCTGAGCCACGGGGCCTCTCAACAGCTGTCCTCTGGGAGGCAGAGGACTCTGAGGACAGGGCATTTGACCTCTCAAGGTCCCTGTGGCTGCGATCCGCAGGGGCTGGAGGGGTAAGCAAAGCCACAGGATTGGCTTTCAGCCGCTGCTGGAGAGACAAAATGGTAACGATATCCCCTCTGTGCAGGAGCAGAGCTTTCTGCTGCACCAAGCTGTCGACAGCGGGCCATTAGCGGGCAGAACAAACAGTTCCACTTAACTCGGGTGTCGTATTACCTGTACATCAGGAACTATCACAGCGTCTTTCAAGAAGGAGACCCTTACCTCATTTGCTGTGTTGTGTGTTCCAACGATTCGGATGAAGGAGGCAGGCTGTCTTTCAAACGTTACTGACTGCCAAGACCTGAGGGAGGAAGCACAACCATAGGCCTGGTTAGAGGCACAGTTAACCGAGCACACGGAGAGGGAAGGCCGCCTGTCTGTCCCCGGGAGACCTGTGCTGGAGGAGGGGTGGGGGACAGGGACAGGGACAGACTGCACGGAATGTGTGGCTGAGGGAGGCAGCGGTACCCAGTGTCCCATCAGAGCCTACAGTCTCACTGGAGAAGGTGCTCCAGCCTTCTGTGAAGGTGACGTGGCTTCTTATAAAGCTTTCCACAAATGAGTGCCAACTGCACACCAAGCTCACAAGAGTGTGCCAAATATACGTGACCCAGGTCGGCGAGGAGTTCATGAAACACACCTCCTCTGTGAGACGGGCCTGGCTCAGGAGCCACCAGCTGCATGGCCACACAGAGTGGCGCAGTGACTTCCCTGGGGATTCTGGGAAGAGGAGAATCAGGGCAGGACTGTGGGCAAAGTGCCCTGGGAAGTCCCAGCACTGTGGTTAGAGAAGTGGGGGGTGCTCACTGAGGAGTGAACCCCATGCAAGAGATGGCATCTGGGGAGGAAGAGGCAATTTCCCACAGGCCTCCATCCTCCCTTTCAGCTTCCAAATCCTTTGGAGGATTGGGATTAAACCCCCAAAGGTTTGTTCTCAGGACTGTCTGGGCTCCGGTGGGCCCCACAGGAGCCCTGACATGTCAGAGGCAGCTCCTCATGGATCAGCAGGGTAAGCCAGCTCATTTAAAGCCCCAGATCCAGGGTGAGCCCTGCGAGGAGGAGCTCCCTTGTGGTTTTCGCTCACAGCTCATCAGAATGCCCGGGAGGAACGCATGGCACCCACGACTGTAAACGCCAATAATACTTTCTGTAATAAATGTGAGGAGTTCACCATTGTTGTCATCCCTCCTCCACTGCACAGTGGAAATGCCAGCTGCTGGAAGCTGTTCCTGTAATTGTCTAATTACCAAGTAACACTACCAAAGAAAATGGATGTATTTGCAGTTTGTTTTCCCCTCTGGTTTCAGGTGTTCCATCTTCTCTCTGCTATGAGCCTCCCACTGAGACTGATTCACTGCTGCCTGGACACCAGGCCCCTTAAGGTCATTAAAAAGTCGTTACCATCCTGTGTGCAAAGTCTGTGCCTCTGAAAGCAGTTTTCTGGAAACAGCACAAGAAAAATCACTCTCCTTGTACAAACGCTATCATTCATACGTGAAGGTGATGCCGTCGGCCATCCCCAGAGCTGGCACTCCTGGCTCTTTCTCTACAGGGGACTGGTTTGCTCCCAGACCCACCCAGCCCTTGGAGATTCTGGTGGGCAGGTTGTGGCCCGGGGCCAGCAGGCCCTGTGGGGCTTCTGCCCTGGTCCTGAGCTCTCACAGGTCTGGCTGTCACTTCCCAGCTAAGCCGTGGAACCCATGACGGACGTGCCTCCTTCTGGTAGGTCTGGGGACACAAGGGCCACTGCGGGGGCCTGCTTCTCAGACCACCACCCAGGAAAGGGAAACAGGCCTAGGGTAAGTGACAACAGCCAGTGACAACTACCAGGCTCAAGTCAGCTTCACAGAAAAGATTGGGGTGGAGAGGGGTGGGAGTGGAGGAGGTACTAGCCCTAGGCTTATCAAAAAAAAATCTGCAAATGCTTCTGGATGTGAAGGGACAAGACCCTTGTAGGTCCAGGGCCCCCAGTACACGCTCATGGTCCAGAGAGTGCTGGCAGGTCTGAACTAGCCTCCCGTGGCCCAGCCCCTCCTCCCTCCACCAGGAAGACTGGAGCCCCAGGGAAGGAACGAGCCCGCGCTGGGTTGCCCTCCTCTCACTGCTGCCGCTCTCACCATCTCCCTCTGTCCTCCTCTCCAGACACCACTGCCCTCACTTTGCTTGGGGAGGCAGGGCTGGCAGGGCAGCAGCCTGACCAGGAAGGAGCGTTTTGTGGAGTAATAAGATCCAAAGGCCTCAATTTAATACCAATCCTCCATGCCATTACATTAATATCTAATCACATTAGAGTTCATTTCACTAACACAGCCTGAGGCTGAATAGACGATTTCATTTTCAGCAAAACTAGATATACCCTAAGACCAAGGTATCAGTAGGAAGGAAGATGGTTAGGATGAGGTAATGAGCGCCATTCCATCCCCAGGTTTCAGATTCCATTTCCCCCCAACTGCTTTCAAACAGCCTTGAATGCTGCCAGAAGGGAAGGTGGCACTGGAACAGTCCTCATGGCTGAGCCACATTTGCAATCATATGCCACATCCATGGAGGCTGTGCAGCCGAGATCCACAGCGCCAGGAAATGCCACAGGACTAGTCCACTCAAAAGCTCAACTGCTGTTTTTGTTGAGAGCTATAAAATATTCCTACTTGCCAAATACCCCGTATCTATCTACCTCTCTCTGTCTCTCTCTCTAAATGCATTGACTTGAGAGAGAGAAACATTGGTCGTTCCACTTATTTATACATTCCTTTGGTTGTTTCTTGTATGTGCTCTGACTGGGATCGAACCTGCAATCTTGGCATATCGGGATGACACTCGAACCAATTGAGTTGCCTGGCCAGGGAGACCCAGAATCTCCTGTCTGGTAGGCAATACTCCCAGAAAACGGGAGCATCAAGGGCTTGGCACTCATGCAGGACAGAGACAAGGCTGAACCTGAGTACCGGGTGTCAAAAAATACAAGTGGACTTTGCTTTGAGCACTTACCCTCAAATCACAAAACCCCCTGCACTTGCTGGCACTCCACTGGACAAGTCCAGTCCCTTCTTGAGTTGCAATCTCCTTATGTGTCCAATGCTAACAGAGAGAATCCCCTCCCCCCCGAACCCTGGCTACAGAATGAGGCGCCAAGTACATTACACTGTAATGAATGTATCTGCGCACACATGAATTCAAAGGTGTCAATAAGGATATCTGCTAAAATGCTGATCAAACTTTTAGTTTGGGATAGAAGAATTTCAAGAGACATTTACTATAGTTTGGTAGAGTATATATAATCATTTTTAAAAAGTACCTATCTTAACCTACTGCCTAAGGCACGCTTCATGTGACACGAAGCAAGCAAAAAGGCAAGCCTGTGTTATGATGCAGGGTATGAGGGTGTTATGAGGAGGGTCTCTGGTGGCAGTCCAGACCACAGGCCTTAATCCTGGTCCTTCATGAACTGGAGGTAGGATGGCCCTGAGGTTGATGGCATGGGTTCTGGAGCCAGGCTACCTGAGTCTGAATTTCACTTTCTTTTTAAAAAAATATATTTTATTGATTTTTTTACAGAGAGGAAGGGAGAGGAATAGAGAGCTAGAAACATCGATAAGAGAGAAACATTGACCAGCTGCCTCCTGCATACCCCCTACCAGGGATGTGCCCTCAACCAATGTACATGCCTTTGACCTGAATCGAACCTGGGACCTTTCAATCCACAGACTGATGCTCTATCCACTGAGCCAAACCGGTTTCTGCTGAATTTCATTTTCTTACTCTCATCAGCAGTGACATTGGGCAAACTGTTGAACCCCAGTGGGATTCAGTCTCTTCATCTAATGAATATCCTAATAAAAGAGAAACATGCAAATTGACCGCACCTTTGCTACACCCACAAGCCACACCCACCAGCCAATCAGGGTGAATATGCAAACTAATCCAACCAAGATGGTGGTTAATTTGCATATCCAGACCAGAGCCAAGACTGAAGACATCGTAGAAAGAAGTCAAATGCTGCAAAAGGGAGCGAAGCTGCAGAGAAGCAAGCAAGTGGGGCAGCGGAGAAGGAAGGGAAGCAGGTGGGTTGGGGGAAAAGGGAGAGAAGCTGGTGGGGCTGGGGAGAAGGGAGGGAAGCAGGCAGGGCAGTGGAGATCACAGCAGGAAGCCCTATTGCAGGAATCTTCCTGCAAGGGGCACTGGTACTGTATATAAAAGGCTAATATGTCTGTCTGGGAAATGACATCACGTAGCAATGCCTAGTGGCTTCCTCTCCCTAGCAACTAGCCTCCTTGGAGTTTCTTCAGCCCAGGAACACTGCTTGCTTTATAGCCAGGTGGAAACATTTTACACTTTAACCAAATATCTATGAAGCATTTTCCTGTGCCTCATCTCATCTCATTTGATCCTCACAGAAGTCCTGAGGTGGGTAGATAGGTGATTTGATGGAATCCTATTTTCTTTTCATTAGCCGAAAAATGGAGATTTAGAAAGCTTAGAAAATTAACTCGACTGCAAAGAAGAAATGGTGGACCTTGAAAATGACTTTAGGTTTTCTCACTGCATAGAATATAGTCAAACACTGCTGCAGTTAAATATTAAACCCTTTGTTCTCCCTACACGATCTACAATAATAATCTGCTTTGTGTTGATATACAATAATAATCTGATCAAAATTACCTGAAAGAGAAGTTGGGGTGCTTCACTGAGCTGGAAAAAGTTTAGCTACATCAGAAAGCAGGTCTAATTAAGCAAGTTTAATATATATGGCTAAGTTGACTCGCACATGCGCAATACATATAAAGCTCTCGCTGGCACCAATTGCACACATGTGTTTTGATTTGTCATTTTCGATTGTGAATTTGGTTGACATTTCTATCATAGAGAAAGGGTGAGTAATAATATTAAAATATTTCTTATAATTAATTTCCTTTCAATGTGCATGAATTTGTGTACCGGGCCACTAGTAATAATAATAACTATCAAAATTTTGGGTTAATATTAAGTAAACTAACAAATGTAAGATCTAGAACAGTGCTGATGTTTACGAGGTGCTAAAATTAATAGCTGGCATGGTTATTACTACTGTAATTATGACTCAGCCCAATGAACCCGGACAGGACACAGTGCCTCCCTGGCCTCGTCTGGGAGTCACCAAGGGAACAGTGCATGAGTTAATGACAACTGCAGAGGTTCCTAGGCAGACCCACACACCCTATCAACACCCAGGTCTTGCAGGCAGAGAGGTAGGGGGGCTTTGGAGGAGTGAATAAGTGTTTATTGAATATACTTGTGAGTGTGGCACTTGCTGGTATTATGGGA